ATGTGTTGACCCAGATATATATATATATATATATATATATATATATTACTTTAAATTGATTCAGCTAACCTCATAGATAAATGCTTCTTTAGATTTCACTTAATGCACAAATATGTTACTACTCAGTTTTTTTATGATTTTCTAAACTGACTCTATTCCTTTTAAAGATCCAAAATATACAATGCTACTCATACACACATTTGTTTTTTTAATCAATTTTTTTCTCCTTGACTGCATGTTTTTCATTTTTAACATGTTAAAATGTAGTAAACAGTCATAAAACAGGCTCATTATGTTGTTACATCTGTCATGATAATGGGGGTTTGATGGGGTCATTTATGCTGAAAGTTATGACTTTACATTGTTGGTTGAGTCCTGATGTGACGTGAAGTTGTGGGGAGTCCTTATATGAGGGAGGGCATTGCCCCATCTCTCTTTAGAGTCTCCACCTTGTTTCATCCCTGGAATCACATCAAACTGAGGATCTTTTTATGGGCTGCCATCACCGTGGTTACTGCAGCTACGAACAACTAGCACTGCTGCTGTTGTTGGGGTGAAACACTTGGCATCTGCTCCAACCACAGCTATTAGAAATGTGTTTGCAGTGTGGCTCTTTACAAGTTGCTGCCATTGATATCATTGTATGGCATGTGTTTATGAAGGTTTCTTTTTTTGTATATAAACTGAATTGAACTGTAGTTTCAATTTTGCTTAAGGTGCAAGAAATCTACTGTTCCCTGATTTGTCTGGGGGAAGCGCTTTTAATTTCCCAGTTGTTAAAAAGGGTCATGGGGTTATAGCACTGTGATCCTCAATTATAAGAGAACACGGCAAATAGGATGAGGGGCACCGGTCCACGGGTGAGCACGGAGAACAGGGCCTGACAAAGGCAGGGATGAAGATGCAGCTCCGCATAACTCAGAGCTGGACAAAAGGCCCGCGACAGCCCGGCGACACCACAGCAACATCCACTCTCCCATACGCCCACAGTGGCATGCAGCAAGCATTGCGTTGATAAATCCTGTCAGGGTTTTGGTCTACTTGGAGCTTCAGTTTTCCTTTGGATGTATTGATATCCACTTTAACATTCACAGATATGCTGATGACACCCATGTTCTGTAAACAGCTTGGTCCACATCTCAGGCTTCTGCCCACAACTTGCTCCAAGTTAACCAATGCATGCAGCATCCTTATCAGTCATCAGCTGGATTCCTTCCAGATTTACAAACATCTCACCCATCCACTGAAGCTCTTGGGGCAACATATTGCATGCTAACTGCTGTCATTTTGATCATAACACAATGTTGATAAAGGTAGTTTATGGACCTTACGAACAGCTGTGTGGTAACAAAAATTATCATAATACCAGTCACACAGCGATACCCCCCCCCCCACACACACACACACACAAAAGTTATAAATGCCATACAATCTTCTGAATATCCTTAAGCAGTCAAATTAAAGCTGTGTATTTACATTTATGTATGAATAGAGGTCATGTACACACATGGCAGTTTTTAATGTGACTGCTTGCACACACCACCTCACTTTCCCTTGATCCCAGGTAAAATATCCCACTTGACTACTCCCAGTGTCCCTCCTGCTGTTATCTCAATAGCGACAACTGATGTAAGTTTAAGAGGACCGGTGTTGTGTCTCAATTGTGTCAGTACCAATTCATGAACTATAATCAACCCTTTACAATGTAGCCATGGTTTCTCTCTTCAAAACAAGGTGCAATACAACAGCTACGTCGTCTACAGTATACTGGAATGGTGGAAGTTGCACTCAACCTCAAAGTAATCTCAAACTCCTGTTTTGTCACTTGTGAACGACAGAAAAAAATGCCTAAAATTATTCCAACATTGTTTGTATCATCAACGTTTTGTAGCTCCTGAGTAGCATGGAGGCGCTCTCTTCTCAGCTGTGTAAGGACCAAGGCAAGAGGACGACGTCGAGGCATTGTCTACTTATAGTATTCAATAAGAGGCTAGAGTTCCTAGTAAGTAAATTGTTGGATTGTATACCTGGTTTATTGAGCATGGACTTTGTTAGTTCCTAGTAAGAGTTTGCGATTTAATCATGTTTTCTTTGTGATCCTCACATGAGAATCTGTGCCCTGTGTTCTTCAAGACTGAGACTTACCTTTGTCCTCCAGCCTGAGTTTGCCTTGAACCATCATTATAATCCTCTTCATACAGACATACAGCTGGAAAGATTTCTGTCTCTTCGTCCTGGACCAACCTGCCATTCTCTTACACAAACATGTGAACCTCACCTACCATATTCACCTTCCTGGAGCCTGGAAACTTGCCCTCCTCTCCAAGCCTGAACACCTATCAAAGCCTCCTCTGTTTAATATACAAACCTTCCAGAAGACCCTCTGCCTTAATTAAAACCCTAACTGTCTACATTCTGCACCCACAGATGCTTACCCTTTTCCTTCCAAGTCAGCCCCTTGTAAATATTGTAAAACTTCAGTCTCTTGAGTCTTTCTGGGTTTCAGTTAATCACACTCTGAGAAATCCATCCGTCCATTATCTTTAATCGATTCTTGCTTTTCAGGTCATGAAGGTCACTGGTGCCCGTGTCCAGCAGTCACTGTGCGAGGGGATGGGGGCACCCTGAACAGGTTGCGAATCCATCACAGAGACACATAGAGACAAACAGCCATCACTCTCTCACTCACACCTAGGGACAATTTAGAGTTACCAATCAGGCTAACATGCATGTTTTTAGTCTGT